ATTTTTTTTTTTTTCTTTCAGCAAACTCCTCATTAGTGATATGAACCTCTACTTGTATACTTTAATATGCTATTGTAAACTAATTAATGATCCTGGAGATGTTTTTTCCAAGGGACATTACACTTTCAGCTAGAATCTCCAGCTGAATGCTGATAAGCCTCTTGAACTTTGCAAAACCACTTGTCAAAAATAGTAAGACGAGAATTTGTTAAGGTCTTTTAATTAAGTAGTACAAGGCCCAATTAAGCTCTCACTAATGTGCTACACAACCCAGTGAAACAATGGCATGCCAAGGATTTTCCCACCCCCACTGGTTCATCACTTGAGTTCATCTCCAACTGGTGGGTTGGAAGAAATTCTCTGGCCATCAGAGGCAATGAGGAGGAATGGTGTGGACAGCTGCAGCTTGCTGCATTAATACTTTGGGACATCTTATTGTTCTGCAACTGGAAGTGTTCTGAGACACTCTTTGACTCACTAATAGCATTTCAGAGACTGCTTCCCTCTCTGCCTACCAGGGTCACTCCCACTCTGCACACAGATCATGTAGTGCAAAATGCTCAAACTGATGTTGATTATCTCATTATTTGAATCTAAAAAGGTCCCTAATTCCCAGCAAGGAAAATGTGTGTGCTCTCATCAGCTCCGAGGCTGCTGTGCTGGCCTGTGGCCATGCTTCAAAGCAATTCCTACCCCAGTTTTATTTCTGGAAGAATACAGGTTCTGACACATAGCTTCCTCTTTCTACAGAAGATGTAGAAGAAAATTAAGTTGCATTTTGTTGCTATTTAAGACCTGATTATTTAAGAACTAAAAATATCCTCTTCATAACAGGAGAAAGATGAGCCAAGCAATTTTGGGTTTATCCTCTCAGCTCTGTAGGACAAGATCCAGCCAGTAGACTGACACCTCAGGAACCCACTAATGAGCTAAAAGATTGCAGAGGAGAAATTGCTCAATGCAGAGCTCCAAAGATCACCTGTGGGAAGACTAAAGCTTCCCAATGTACTGAAATGTCTCTGATTGGGTTCTCAAAGGGGGGCAGAGATTCAGCACTCAGAGTGACCCACCAGAAGAAAGGGAAACACAGAATAGAAATGAACCATTAATTCAAAACACTTCTCCCAAATCAGTGTCTGTTCTGTGCTGTGACCCCAAACACATCAAGGAATTTCAAACACATCAGCTGACAAACACTTTCCACCACCCAAACCCTTGTAAATCTGAGCACCAAGGAGGTGAATCACACAATTTAAAGGACCAACCTTGTGCCATCACCCAGCAGACTTCTCCAGGAAAGATCCCATGTAGTCACAGAAGTGCTCCCTATCCATCAACCTTCTCCTCCCTCAGCCTGTTGGTGGGCCAAGATTCACACAGTACCAAGGAAGATATTAAATAACTCAGTCTTGACATCTAGCCACACCAAGGTCCTGCCAGAGAGTTCCCTACAGACTGTGGTTTTTCCATTCCCTATGGACACCAGTTCCCCCCAAACCAAAACCATACAGTCTTGTCTCAAGAAGTGACTTGGACCCTGATACTCTTCACTAATGGATTTTAAATCCAATTTTAACGCCCATTTACCTGTGTGACTGACTGCTCTGCCTCCTAAATGAAATCCTTTTAAATATGTATGCACTAAACTGAAAGACAATAATGGCCCCAGGGAAGTTGCATTCCATCAGGCAATTACCTGTGTTTTTAAAATCACTGAATAAGTAAGTCACACAACTGATTTCTCTTGCACATAACAATAAACAATTTTATCAGCTATGCCCTGCTTGGGCTGTTGTGTACCAGCTCATTTCATTTGGTAGAGAACCACCACTAACCAGGGAAATTAATTGAAATCATAAGGTAGTGGGAGGGGGGAAAAGTACCTGCTCTAACAGCAGCTGACAAAAGCACATTTCTAAGAGGGGAGTGATAAAACCACATCTCTCAAGGGCAAATGGGCAGATTCCATCACATAATTCAAGAGTCACTCTCAAATTCACAGAGGACTGAGTGAGAAAAAGCACCTAGCCTGGAGTACCTCTGTTCTAATTTCTTTGCTGTTGAACATTTAAGTCAGAGCTCAAAGCCATTTCCAGAGCCAGCTCTATTTGCATGCCACACATCCCACTAAAATCTGCACATGGAGCTTTCCAGGCAAAACACTGTGAATCTCAAATTATAAATAGGCAATAAAAAATGAAGAGGGCTACACACAAGGTACAAGTAGTTACATCCTGACAGCCCCAAGGCATTGAGCCTTCCCAGATAAAACCCCTGAGGCAGGTCAGTGATCCATCAGCTGCACATTCTGCAGGGTTTACCAGCTTATCCCTTGGGAACACAGCACAGCCTGGTGCTTTCTGGAGTTTTTGCTGCTAACACCATCGTATCAGGAGCTCAGTACCATGCCAGACCCTGTAGCTAAGCTTTTGGGTGCCACCAGTTTGCAAGGACTCCCTTAAAACCACATTTGATCACAGTTATCCTATGCCTGAGCCCTGGGAATGAACTCACCTGGGTGGGAAGTAGATAGAAAGTGTTCTCTCCTTTTCCTTTGCAAATTGTGATGACTTCAGCTCCCTGCTTTTGTGTCAGGGATATTTTGGACTACCCCCAACTAGAGGGACATGCTCAAGGCCCCATTGCAGCATTCAGAGAAATGAGGGAGTTACACTATGGGTAAGCAAAGACCAATGCAAGTTGGATGTTTGTAGGACAGGATTGGAATGGGAGGAGCTGCACTCTGGAAGTCTGGACAGTGTTCCTAGTTCTGCCTCCGCCAACTTTTAAGTACCCACTTAGCTTCTCCTCCTCTCTGGATTTCCAGGAACTGTCAGCATCCAGCACTCCTCAAATCCAGACCCTTGACTAGGGGAGGCTCTAACAGTTTGCATTACCCATCAGGGCTTTATGGCTATATAGTTATTTTCACTACAAAGAGCAACATAGAAGTAGATCCATATTTTTGTTTGTAACTAAAGCCTGGGAAAAGCTTTGTAACATCTGACATTTGCAAGAGATCAAATTATATCCATTAATGAAACATTCTCCACTGTTTCCAGCAGGATAAAGGATTAAAAAAAGCAGCCTGTAGGCATTGTATATGTTCTTAATATATCTGTGCTTCTAAACTATCTTTAATTAATGAAATATCCCCAAATTACTTATTAATAAGGATCTGTGGGCTTTGTAAACTCCAGACATTTTGCATGAATTAAAGAACAATATAATGAAGTTTTAATGAATACAAAGTCACAGTTAATGTAAAATTTATATATAGCAAGCCAGAGGGGGAAGGAATCTAAAAGTACTTTTAATCATAGGTTATTGGCAGTTGGAAAGCTCATTGTTAGACTTTTCTAATGGGTGCTGGGTATTTATACTGCCACTCTGATCATGCCAGAATGGTGTGTTGCCTGCTCTGACACTACAGAGTCAAGGGGAGATCTGCACCTTTAAAACCTCATTTGCTGGGAGATTTCTGCATCCTGCAGTGAGTATGGGGCTGGTTGTTCACACTGACTCTGTTATCACTCACAGACCACCCAAGAGGAGCTGTCCCAGTTGCATTTATGAGCAGTTTCACTCTTACCGAATTGCTGGTAGCAATATTTGACACATTCTGCAACAACACACACTAAGCTTCCACCAGCTGCTGCTGCACATGAGCATCTGGACTTTGCCCTCAGTGAGGGAGCACACACCTTCCTTCCAGGGCTCAGGTGTGTCCCTTTTAGCAACATGAACATATCACAACCAACAGCTTCTTACTGCACTGACACAAAGCACCTTTTCAGCATATTTTCTTCCCCTCCTGTTCACCTGTGACCTTCTCAATGAGTCAAATTGTGCATACAGAACTAGCAGTGATGTTTCACTTGTCTTGGGCTCTGTATAAGGAAACAGGATAAAACTGTCAGAGTTTTGTAGTAGGGTGGACTTAAATTAAAACCATTAAAACCAGTAATAAATCAAGCTCAAAATGAGTCCATGACACCCAGTCAAAAGGAAAAAAAATTACACAGTAACAGCTGAAACAGATGTAATATATATCATTATATATAAAGAACTGATTTAATTAACTCTTTATCAATGCTGAATGCATTCAACACAACTTTAAGTACATCCATGATTTTAATGCATTAAATATTTCACCCACAAAACTCAGAGTGCAGGAGACACTGAATGCCAGAGGGTTGGTACAACTACTGCAACTGTATTTCATGAAAAACAAAACAACACTTTAAGTGCTTCCACTTTACTGTTTTAGTATGCTCATTACAGTGTTTTTCCCTTTATAAACTGGAAGGATACAGAGCTAGAAAACATTTGTCTTTCACTTTCAATGTGACATTTAGTAAAAAAAGTTACAAAACTCATCGGCTTTTAATAAACACACTGGAATTCTTCAGCTAACCTAGCACAGGATTGCTGTCAGAGAGCCAATAAAGGACTTCAACCAAGGAAGCAAAATGCTTTCTTCAACTGCATTTCTGTTAATCCAGAGTAATGACAGCAAATTCCATGGAAATAACCTGGAGTTACCCCAGGAATATGGAGGAGGCAATCACTCCCTCAACCTTCTGAGCCCCCAGAAGTCTATCAACCAAAAAGCTTAAAACAATAGGCTACATCACAAAATGAAGCAGCAATTCATTACCTTCAAGGGTACCATGAGATATTTCAAGCCTGAAATTCTTCTGAGTGAAGTCAAATGGGTTTCAGTGCATTATGATTTGGCTTTATAAAAACATTTAAATGCACACTACATGGAGAACACTTGCATGTCTCAGGGTCAAGGGGTTAAAATCACTGTATATTCTTTGTAGGTGACAAACATCAATTGAAAAACATTGCTATAAATCCAGTTTAAAAAAAGAAAGCAAACGTTTTATGAAACAAATATTCTATTTGCAACTGCAACTACTGGTGCTCCCTTTGATGGGCTGCTGATGTAAGTCTAACCAGAAAAGATGCACTCATATATATAAAAATCAAAGCAGGCAGGTTCCTCCTTCCAGGCTGGAAAAAAACCTCCAAGATATATGGCATATTTCACCAATAAAAGGGAGCTAAGCTTTACCCAAGCCTTTCATAATGCACTTCATGAAATATTTTTTTTCTTTTAAAAGAACCACTGGTATTAAATAGAGCTTTTTCTTTACATACAGTATTGGTATATACAAAACAAACACAGAACAAAGACAGATGAAAAAAAACCAAAACAAAACAAAAATAAAACTAAGTGACTTTAGTAGTTTTGAAGCTCAGGAATATTTTGGTACAGGTCCAAAGCCTCTGGGTTTGAGAAAGCTCCTCGTTGCTCCACTTCCTTCCCTGCAATTATTTGCTTCACAGCTACTTCCACTTTCTTCCCGTTTACTGTATACTGAAAAACAAGAACAGCAATGGTAAAAATCACATTTTTTCATGTAGTAGCTCTAAGGAAATATTCATGAAACCCCCAACAATTCCCAGAACTCTATCAGCATTTAGCACAATGCCTTCACTTCTGTTACACTTGAAGTAGTTTCTTCTGAAAATCACTTAAGAGTAGGTGGAATTCAAAGAAGAGTTTATATGTTATTTTAGTTTATTACTCCTATTGGTAATGCTGTGATAACCAGATCAAGCTCCAACTTTGAACAAAACAGATCAGAATCATGGTATAAACACTAAAAATATTTGAAGTTTTATGTTCTGACACATCCAATTTTCTAACCATTTTGAATTTTGTAAGGGTGGGCTCAAAAAAACAAAGCCCAGCTGCACTGGAAGAAGAGAACCATCATTTTCTTACCTTAAATGGACAGTTTTTTTCTAATAGGGTAAAGTGAAAGAATGAACTTAAATGATCCTCTATAGTTACATGTTTCAAAGCAAACAACAACAAAACAAAATGAATCATAACAGAGGCTTCACCTTCCCTTAGGAATCACACCAAAATCTATTACATGGTGTTAACTCTACAAATGAGGACATGGCAGAAAAAACTCACTGTTACCTTTTGGGGATCAGAGCACTGCAATTTCTGACTAGCAACACACAGTAAGGCAGAACTATTCCAATGAGAACAGAACTGCCAAGGCCCATTTTGGATTTTCTCTGCTTTTATAGGCGCTTTCCTTGTCCTGCTACCACTGAGACATTTTGGGAGGAAGTAACTTTGACTCAAGCTCCAAATATCTGTTCAGCCTTGTCTCCCTGCTCTGGGAAGAGGAATCACACTTGCTTTACTACTGAACTGCTGATTGAGGAACCCAAGTTGTTCCTGGCCAACAAAGCCACTGACAACTCCAGGCACCACCATTTTTCATTAGAGATCATTCAGAGCCAAGTTAAATGATCCTCAACTCAATACACTCCTGAAATATTGATCTTGATACTAAAATCAAACTATTCCTCATTAGATCTACTCAGCTCATGTGCAATCCAACCCTCCTGAGACACCTTAATCAACCACTCCTCCTCAATGATTAGCAACCTAATTGCAACAAGTGCCCAGAAACCAGAACACCTCAGTGGCCTGCAAGGAAACTGCCCCTTTTAGAAAGATCAAACACTGTTCAAAGCAAATTTCTTAGGTTCAATCAGTAAACATCTCGTGGATGATGACCAGAATGTTTATCTGCTCAGGACTAGACACATTTGCCCTGTTTAACACCTGCATATCCCATTAAAACCATTACTATAGTCTTAATCACCTCACCACAACTGTACTATTTCTACCAGAATAGTGTCAGCTCTTTATTTTCAGATCAGAATTCAAACCTATTTCTAAATGTAGCACAAAATAAAGAGATTTCCCTTCCAAGCAAAACTTGAACAGAAAAATGGGGCACAGCTTTGATCACTTTACCACTGGCACATTTATCTGAAAGGTAATTAAAATACACTCAGTTCAGTCAGTGTGTGAACTAATTAATGATCTAAGCAGGCTTTCCTGAGGGGCAGCCCACCACAAACACCTCAGTGCCATCAAATTCATGCTCTACATTCAGGTGATGTGCAGAGTTCACAGGTTCAACACTTCACGCAGAAGATGAGTTGCAGCCCAGAAAAATCTGAACTTCAGGGGATTTGACACATGCAAGAAAACGTTTTGAGACAAGTATTATTTGCCAACAGTGGCCTGAAACAGAAGGAACTCAACAGATCAGAACCAGATCATTCTGTGGACCACAGAGGCTGGTGGGGCTGAACCCTAGAACATTTTCATATGGAAACCTACACTGGCTGTAGAGAGGTATCAAATGATGGCTCTGAAATCTCAAGTCTTGACTCTAGGCACACTCAAGTCTATGTGAAAATGGACTTGGGAAAACTACACTCTGCACTCCAATTCTGCTGCTTAGAGCTGCTGAGGAGACTACAAAACCAGACATTCCAACTGAAGAGTTCACACTGTAGAATGATGCAGCTTCAGGAGACGTGAGCATGCAGAACCTTAACTACACAAAATCCTTCTCCCATAAACACCAAGATTTAATTTCAGTTACTGTCACAGTTAAGACAGTGCTAGAGTTACATTTAAGTGGCTAAACAGATGTAAAAGTGAAATGGTTTACGAAATGATCTTATGAATTTGCTGAGGGCTCTCAGCTTTCCTAACAATGTCACTTGAAACAGGAAAACAAAAACAAAACAAACTCATGGATAGCCAGAAACATTCAATTGCCTTTTTAATATTTCCCTTTAAGAGGTTCAAGCATATTACTGAGAAAATGCAACACATTTAAAAAACAAAAAACATGCTTAGCTGAAAAGGAGATGAAAAGGTGTTGCTAGGCAACATAGACAAACTATTTATAAAGCTCGAATACACTTTTGAGATGCTAAAATTTCCATGTATGTGGGTTTGAAGAGCAATGACAACTGCTCCTTAATTACTATTCAAGGTGACAAAGAAAAAAAAGTAGGCAGCATTTTTCCTGACATACCGGAATGCCTTTGGTTTCCAGAATGAGGCTGGGAACATGCCTGGCAGAGAGCGCGATCCGGATCGCGTCCTGGATCCTCTTCACCAGGCTCTTGCTGAACGTGTGGTTTGATGCCATCTTCAGGAAGAGGATCACCCTCTCCTCCCCATCTTTGTTGTACTGAGGGACACAGAGGCTATCTGAAACCTCCTCGAAGGCTTCCACTGAAAACAAAGGAGAAGTCCTGATTAGCATTTAGATTTATCTTTCATTCCAGATGCACATTTTTCTGGGTTGTACCAACGAAAAATCACCTCCCCTAGAGCTGCAAAGACAGGCATCCTGTTAAGGTTATTCTGTAATGAGCTTCCCCTTTGGGTGATCCAAAATTTATCTCTTGCCCAGGTGAAAATTTATGTCTTTAGATCCGTAACAAAGAAATTTGCTGCAATTTTTGGGTCAGATAAGCTTTCACACTAAGCCATTTTCTGTGGCTTTCCTCACAGCTCTACTGCTGCAGAGACTAATGTGCCTGATGACAGAAGAAAAAGGAGGCAACAGGTCCTTAAGTCTCAGATTAACACCTTTGCAGGGACAGTTTCACCACCTGTCACAACATAGACTGTCTGAAAAATGATGCACAAGCTCAGGAACTACTTCTAATTATCAGGAATGGTGCAATAAAAACAGTGTCAACAGCTTGTCTTGGAGGGGGAAGAAGAAAAGCTTGAGAGGTTAAGTGTTCTTTTATAAGTCTGCATGATATTATTAGTCTCTAAGGTCTTTTTATCTGCTCCCTAAGATGTTGCTTTCATATATTTTAACTAGTCACCTCCAGCCCTACATAAACTCCAGGAAAACAACCAGTTTCAAGTTCACAAAACTAAATCTTACTGAGGCTAATAGACCCTGTACTGTCTTCCATTTGAAAAACAGCAAGTCTTTTACTACTTAATCCTTCCAAACACCTTTATAATGCTTAAATTTCAGATTTAAGCCAAGAATGTCATAGCTGAAAGAGGTGGAAAGTTGATTACATACCTATGTTATAGATTTCAGAACTTCCAAATCTTACTCCATTTGGATTTAATGTACCATCACTGAAAAATCAAACAAAACAAAGCATTAAGATGTGCTTACAGTTTGATGAAGAGGAAAAATTGATGCAATTAACCAAGTCTCTCTACATTTCAGGCAGTGAAGGTACAGCCACATTAGACACAGAATTGTAAGAGCATTTTGCTCATTAGGATGAAACTGTACAGAGAACCTCAACATTATTCATTCATTCAACTTTGTTTCAAGCAGCAGCTTTGAAATGCCAGCAGAAAATTTAGCCCCAGTTGTGATCTTGAGTGTCTGTGATTGCTAACACAGGCACAACTTAACAGCTGACCTTCTGTAATTCCATTCTGCTGTATAACAAGCTGATGGCAAAGCCAAAACCAGAAAACAAGTTTCCTGGTTCACCACTGCACTCTGAACTCTAAGTGATCACTATAAACATGGGACACAAAATCAAGTCCAGACTGTGTTGTATTCACATATACAGAAGTGAGGCAGAACCTTGAAATGAATTCCCTTCCCTCTAATCCAGCTGCTCTGATTAATTCAAGGGCTGAAATCCACAATATTGGATTTAATAATCCAGGGTGACAGAGAATCATGTACATGATGCTGTAAGGTTAAGACTGCAAATTTTCACACTTTCCCCAAAATACTGTACCTGCGACCCAGCATGACAATTCCTCCTGTCTTGGGATTAATTTTGCAGTAATCACCATGGGCCCAAACACCTATTAGAGAATGACAGACATTAAGCAGCTGATTTCTTACTCATCCAGTCATAGCAGACATTTGTGCAACTCAACTCACATTAACTAGGCAAAATACACAGAGAAATGTCATAAATCAGAAATACTTTGAGAACTACCCACAGCAAGTGTAGCAGTATTTAACTACACAAACAATCCACACTGCACTTACTACCAAGAGCTCAAACACCCAGGAGTAACTCACACATTGGGATCACACCTCAAGGTTATCTTGTTTTCATGACTACACAGCATTTTTTACACACCAGATGAACAGCTGCTCTGAACAGCACATTTTGAGGAACCTGGAAGAATCTTCCATAAAGGTAACAATATTCCCACCAGTCTTTGCTGATCCACTTTTATGATGTACAATTCTGTGCAAGAAGCTTTCTGGGCTTGCATAATAGGCCTCACCAATTCCCTAGAGAGCTTAAGTGCTTAATGTTCTTGGTTTGTGTTAAGGTAGAATCAGATTTGACTTTTTAGAGCTGGAATGACTTCAGTATCATTTAAGGCTGTTTGTACCACAGCAGCCTAGTACAAACAGAAGTACAAGCCAATTCTAGCCAAATTTTTTCCAAAAAATTCCAACCTCATTTATTTGCACATGCATGTGCACATAAGAACATTTTTTAACCTAACTATTACAATCTGAAGCCCATTTACAAGGAAAGACAGAAAAGAGGTTTCAGACAGAACCTCTGGACCACAATGATTTCAATCTAACAACTGTCACACAGATTATTTTTCCTATTTACTGCTGTCAGGCTTACATGCAGATTGCAACTTGCACATTCCCTCAGTTTTTCTGTATGATTATCTCCTCTGAACATCCTGACTTCTCTTGTGAATCCACCCTGTACTGCTGCTCTTTATATAAGAGCTGCAGGCTCCAAAAAGAGCAGCTGAAGGTCCCTGCTCCAGTAAAACCCCTGCCCAGGAGGCAGCAGAATTTTCAGCATCATTGTGCCACAGAAGGAAAAGCCCTGGATGAGCAGAGTCCTCCACAATGATTAGGAAGAAAGCCTCTGGCCCACAGTGCCTTTACTCCGGAGAAGACTAGGAATGCAGACTATGCATGTCTGAGGCAGCATATACTTAATCCTCATGCTAATGAGGTAGCAGGTCAGCACTTATCCCTTGGGATTCACTCCTCCAGCTAGGCAGGAGCAGTCTGGCAGAGGTGCAGCAGCACTCATTAATAGCTGATTGCTAGCTGACCTATTCAGCATTTCCATTTCACACTCATGCCAAGCAGTCTGTGTCCGCACTACAGCCTGTGACAGTCCTATATCTGTCCAATGAGAGCAGCAGCAAAGTGGGATTAGAGTTTTTTTGGAGATTGTTCCTAGTTGGATTTGGATCCATAGTCAAAGCACTGGTAAACAGATATTATCAAACATGCACTGGAGTTCTAACCCTGGAAATCAAGATTCAAAGCTGCAGCTGCTTGTCACTGGGCAATAGCAAACAAACCTGGAACTTCCAACACAATCTGCATCCTTGGTCAGTCAAAGCCACTCATAACATACCTGGGAATTTGGAAAAATAAGCCTTCCTGTATTTGCTTCCATTCTCATCATTCCAGAAGTGTGTGGGCTGACAGGGAATAGGCTTGGTACAAACCAGCTCTCCACTTTCACCCCAGACTGGTTTTCCTGTTTACAAAGAAAGAGGCATTTTCTGCATTTCCCTTCTGTAAATAACAGAGTACCAAAGCAAAGAGCAACTAGTGTCATTACTTATTATAGCCAGATGCTGCTGTAAATATGAGATGTGCTGTGACTGGGGGTCTTAGTCTGTTCAACTCCTAAACCCATCCCTACCTTAGCCTCAGGGACTTCAGCAGAGTTACACCACAGGGTGGAAGCAGCTTGGCAATCACAGCAACATCACTAAGGATCACACACACACACCAGAAGCTGGAATTTGGCCTAGATGTGCTTTAGCAGAGTAATGGAAATGGAGAGGCTTTTTACACAATTATCTTCATGAGAGTCCTGTACAATCCAGATCAGATGGATCCAAATGCAGGTTTTGTGGAGCATGTTTCCAAAGTGGAATCACCCACTGAACAGCTGACTGAAGAAACAAAGCTAAGATCATCTAACTACTGTATTTCCTAAGTGTGCACAGTATTTTGGATCATAATTACCTTCATCATTCCATGCTTCTACAGCCATTCCAAGATTCCTGGCCTGAATTTCTCCTTTGTAAACTGGCACTGTAACATTCTGACCCATGAAACACGAAATGATATCTGTCCCACCTACAAGACAACAGTCCATTAAGCAAACAATGCTTTTGGAATAAAGCAAAGCTGAAAACAACTTAAGAATTCCAGAACAGCAAAGTGCCACCTTTGCCAAATGCTTCTGACCCACATTAAGCAGCACAGAATAGACAGTATTATCTAGGATGTGACTTAATAAAAGGTTTCTTTGTGTCTTTTTCTATGTGCATGCCCTTCATGCAGAACTATTCCTTAAGGCATAACTTTTCTTCTTTCAACAGTTTCTTTAATCTTATTTAAAGAAATTTCCATTTACAGGAGAGTAAGAAAACAAACAAGCTCTAGTTTACAGACTTGGATATTTACAGAATTGCTTAGAAATGTTTTCTTGTATGTTTTCATTAAAGTACCCAGTCAAGCTATTGCACTCAACATTTACTCAGCTTTTCTATCTTATTAGCATGGCAGGAGGGCAGGATGAATAGGCCTATAGGATGAACAGTTATCTCAAGAAAAATAGATACTGTCAAAGTGCTTACTTAACTGGAATATTTATAGTCTTTCTAGGACTTGAAGGAAGTAGAATTATAAGACAAATCAATCACGTTAGCTTCACTCAAAAATAGGCTCCTGCATTTGAGTCTATTACTGTCTGTAGTAGCAAGTTCTAGATTCAGCACTACTCTAACTCAGCCAGAGTCAGAAACTACTTCAGTGGCAGAATAGTTATACTTTAAAAGTCCAACTAAACTGAGTTAAAAAGCCCTTTGAAAAAGTCAGTCCTTGTTACAAAGCAAAATGAGGAGTGCTGTGGTGGACCTTGTGTGACTGGAAGTTGCCTCAGCCAGCACTGCTCACAACAAACTGCACAGCATGGGGGCTTGATATTTCTCTAATTATATAATTTACAAAAAAATCTGTCTGCGGTGCCAATTACTTGGCACAAAAGAACTGAAATGGGAACACAGAAAAACCTCTCCAAGAGGTATTTTCTGCTAAAGTCAGCTATTTGCAGAACAGTATGTTCTGCAGGTTAATAGACTCTTTTCTTGATCTCACCCTGCTACCCCCAAGGACAGCCAGTCAAAATAAATGATCATACTTAAAAAGAGCTAAAATCCAAAACATCCACCAAAAACCCTTTGGAGTGTATGAGTTTCATTATGGCACAGTGAATTATGCAGAAAAATCTCTGCACTAAAGAGACAGTTCATTCCAGTTTAACTCTAACCAATCCCGAATGATCCAAGGCTTAAGCTTCCCAAACAACAGCACAAACAAGCAAGAAGGAACTGCACAGGCAATGCAGAGAATTAATAAGATGCTGCAGCATAAAATCATCACCTGAAATGGATCCCAGGAGGACACTGCTTTTTATGTGTTTGTAGACATACTCATAGCTTTGGGATTTGAGTGGAGATCCTGTAGACAGGATAGTGTGGAGTGTTTGGAGATTGTGTGTTTCACCTTAAAAAAGGAGAAAAATCAAGATGAGTTAAGGTAGAATTTTTACAAGGGTTTGGAACTTTGTCACTACAATCCAAAGTAATTACATAAGGGACTATGACAAGATTCAAGGCCAGAACCAGGAGACGTAAGAGAGAGGACAGAAAGGATTCACCAGCTTTTTGAAGCTTACATGGCTTTAGATTTTTCTCTTCTAGCACAGCCAGCCACTTTGCACCCGTTCCAAGGATGGTGATCCTAGAGGGAAAAAAAAAGTTTACATGTTTTGCATATTTAAATATGCTAAGATTCTACAGACCTGCAATTCCCACTGCAGTAAGCAGAGGCTGTTAGAGTCTCTGTACATGGTTTAGTCAAACAATGCAGCCTCTTAAAGCTTTTTAAGTGCAAGGCACATCCTTTTGAACTATCAAAATTAGTCAGATCACATGTCATTCCTGCAGCTTTGAAACTTCCAATTCTATCTTTAAATATTAAGCAAAGCTTTCCCATCTCATGAAAACATTCACTCGCATTTACAGGAATTTGTAACTGCAGAACACTCCAAAGACATCACAAAATGTTACAACATTTACTTCATTAATGGGCCATAATTGCCACTAATCTGTTTAACACAAACCTGCTGCTGTGGCACACTGCTACACAAAAACTTTGCCATTTCAGGGCACAGTTTGACAAAAAGAAATATTTTGTGATTTTCTGAGATACCTGCTCAGTTTCCATGGGGGAAAGCTTGGCTTGCAGGTGCCTAACTGAATGGGAAATTTGGCCCAATGGAACAATTCAATTCTGCCCTTGCACAGTGTATTTAAGACTCTCCAATACAACATGATGGAAACTTGAGACAAAGGCTGTACCTCCTCCCTACTCTGTTGATGGAAGTGCTAGTTTAATGCTTCTGCTGACATGCAGGAAATCCTCTTCCCTGCCTTCTGCTAATTCATTTTACATTACAGCAATCAACTCACTCAAGAAAATGCAGAGATAGATGAGGATAAGGGATACAGCCTGAGGGCACAGAACATGGGCAATACTGACATCAGCAGAGATCCTGCTTTCTTTGCTTTTCCCCCAAAGGCAAAAGAGAGGGTAGAACACTGTTTCAGGCACAGAGAGGCTGATTTCAACACTGTCTTCCTTTGCCTTTCAAGTGGATGACTCATCTCTCAGGTAGGAACAGGCTATTTGCACAAACATCAATGCACAGAGCAATTTGAGGCACATGGGAACATCACCATAGGATCAGACTGGTTTGGGTTGGAAGGGACCTTACAGATCATCTGATTCCAACTCTCTGCCATGGGCAGGGAACCTTCCACCAGGAGAGCACACAGTACACTGCTCCTCAGTTAAAACATACCTCAATCATGGCAACTATTTTTACTCTTGTGTAATATCTTCCTTGCCTTCCATGCCTCAAATCAGTGCTTATTTTACATTAGAATACAAAATGCTTCTCTATTTTTAAGCTCTTTGACACTTCCTCTACAGCACATGTAGAGCCAAGTCTCCTATTATTTCCTTCCAAATGCTACAGAGCTGCATTTAGTCTCCATCCACCAATTCATTCGAGCAGATCATGACTGGGTGTCCACTTGAGCAGCACGAGATATCCTGATGATACCACGAGAATATGCTATCTGAAGGGAAGTGTGGGGAATCTTCAGAGCACTAAGGGAGTCTTCACATGTTGAAGCCTTTTTTCCTTACATATTTAACATATGAGTGAGCTGGGAACAGACTGCATGATGAAGTACCACCCAGATGGTCACCACTTTTAGCGCCAGATTACAAAAGTGAGACATGCAGACACATTTATCTTCACTTACTTTTGGCATGGAGAAACAATACTTAAAAATAAGCTGTGTTATTTCTCAATTCACTTTTTTTTGGGCCTGTTGTTCTACCACGGTTCTTTTTTTGAGGAGGGTTGGACAGTGGCTGAAATTTGTGGGTTTGTTTTGTGCTGGTTTCTTCCTAGAAGCGTTTTGACTAGGTATTAACCTCCAGTTAAAATAGCCAGAGTTGAAATGTCACTCTTTAAATATTCCATGTCACAAAAGACAGAGTGAAGTTTAAATTATTAATTCTCAAGAGTCAGGAAGTGAATCTTGTGGCATCCACTTTCTATCACAAATGAATTCATTTCAATTATCAACTTAAAATGACACTTGTTTTACCAAGCAAAAACATTCAAACCTACTCCTTACATCCACCTGGCAAAATAAGAAAGTTACAAAATAAAAGAATCAGTTTAACCAGTCTACAAAGCTAAATACCACCACTGGGTTTTACAGCTATTTATCTGATACCTGCCATTTCTCTGGGCTTCAAGAAAGGGCACTGGGAGCCTTTCAAGGCACAAAAAAACACCAGTGTAAAACAATTATTGAACAGCTTGTCAGCAAGAATTAGGCATTATAGATTAAAAAGCAAAATATGAAAATATAAGCAACCCTGCTGAGCCTTTCCAGTCAATTTATGTCCTGAAGTCAAAGTTCTATATTGAGTCTTACAAAAAATAAAAAAAAAATAAAAAAAAAAAAAAATTCTTATTTTCTAAGTTCTGAGTGTGCTGAGAAATTACTCTTCAGATTGCTCCCAATTACTGCCTTTTGAAAAGGCTGCTCTTGAAAACTGACTATTGAACCAAAACTCTTTGTTTGCCTGGAATTCTAATACTCCACTCAAATTTGAAACAATCAGCTCTTTGTCTCTCCTGCTCTCTCAAAAACTGTTTTAGTACAAAATTTTAACAAGTAATTCCACTCAAGGCTAAGCCAAAAGGTAAACTATGTTGTGCTGTGGACGAGCTCCATTATCCCTCTATTTAATCTTGTTTACATACCCTAGTCTGTCAGTCAAGTCCCAGAGCACATTTGGTGAAGGAATTAGAGGAGATCCATCATACAGGACCACTGAAGCTCCTGTGGCAAGTGCAGTCACTAGCCAATTCCACATCATCCAGCCGGTCTGGAGAAAAAAAAAAAAGATACCAACATGAGTTTATCTTTGTCAGCTCACTGTCTGCTGTTCTGGCAGCTCCAGCACAGGACCAGGAGTGCTGCCTGCTGTCACATGCTGGTAGAGATTTACAAGCAGCTATAAAATGATGGACAGGTGTAGCTCTTGGCAGAACCCCCTGGACCAAATCATGCTCCCTGCCTTTTTTCAAGAGTTACCACCTTCCCCTTCAACTCCCCTTGCCTGAAGTTTTCCTGCTGTAACAAACTGTTAAACCAACCCCACTGGTTTTGTCTAATGGTATTATTTTAGAAGCAGCAAGTAAGGCTGAAGCACTGTTTATCCTCTGATCAGCTACATCTTTCTGAGAGATGTTCACCTAACTTATCCTTACAAATACCTCATGAGATAGAGATTCCACACCTCCCTACACACACAGCTTTAAAGCACCAGTCAAGAGACAGGACAGCTTTGAGACAAGGCAATTACAATGATCCCTCCATGGAGATATTGCAAACTGACTAGTTGTGTTAAAGTTCAGGAAGGAACTCATGAGGAAAGACATGAGCCTTCGTGGAGATATTGCAAACTGACTAGTCGTGTTAAAGTTCAGGAAGAACTCATGAGGAAAGACATGAGCCTTCTGCAACTGCTGCAGTAAAGGGAGTCTTTGGAATCATTTTCTTTACCACAGCATTAGAAAAAACACCTCAACACATAACTGAACTCCTACACAGATTAGTTTTACTTCCTTTCTTTTAGTAACTTTACAGTTGGGCAACTTCTTTCCTACCCACCAAAGAGATGTAACAAATTCTCATCTTCAGTATGATCCAAGCCCTGCATGATGCAGGAAGGTGGAATATGATTTGGAGATGATATTGATGAGGCAGTTTGATCAATAAACCTGAGAGACTGGAAAAAAAATCAATCCATTTTCCTCACCACTTAGATCAGAAGCATTTAACATGGGTTTGACCTTTCATGAGAAAGGTCCCTGTTGCATTTTATTATATTTTTTAACTCAGTTAGGTAGGCCAATCCCTTACAGAACAAGAATTAAAAATACATTAAAATCTACTTGTAGATTTGTATGAAAAACTCTCCCTTCTTTACAGGAAAAACATATTACAGTGTTTTTAAAAATGCCTTAAGCCCCACTTGCCGTTGTGTAGTACATAATCACATCATTGCTGGTCATGTTGCCATGAAGAATGTGTTCCTTCAGGTGCTGTATTAATGTACCCTGCAAAAATAGGGGAAGAAAAATACAAGATCACAGAAATGGAAAGCAAATCTCTGACAGCATATTAAGACTTCCAAAAATACTAATGTTGTCAATACTTTGCAGGTTGTACTCCAGGATTAAAGCAAGTTTTCCCTTAACCACAACTGAAGTAAATCCCAGAGCCTATCTCCAGCAGCAGCAATTGCATTCCCCATTTTCTCACATAACTTTTCAGCCTCTCATTAGACCTCAGCAATTCCCATTGCACATCCCTTTTAATCCATGGAATAAATAACTTCCCCCACTTCCAACTCTATGCAGCCATCAGAGCTGCAGAGTGCTCCATGCAGACTATCATTTTAAGAGCATGTTTATACCAGTCAGATTTTCCAAGATAAGCCCTTTGATAGAGTTTCATTTTCAGTACATTTGGGCAACTGGGAGGAAGGAAGGACTGAGAGCTGCTATCAACTGCAGCAGCTGCTGCACATTAGCACCATGTATCCAAATTATCTTATCTATTAACATCCAGGAGACAAATGACCTAACAATACAGATCTCTGGTAAACACTGAAGTGACTAGAAATGTGAAATGTCTCACTGCTTAGAGCATCAATATTAATAATCTAGTTAAATACATTATTTCCTTTTCTTTTGTTGGAAATGCTGCTAAAGTACTTTCCTGATCATTACTAAAGCATAACTTGTTAGGATAAATAAATTTACAGACTACTTCATTAAGTCACTTCTCTGCAGTGACAAATTCATGTGGCTGATGTTGAAGTAAAAAATGGGTTTTGCATTTATGCAAGGAGTTACGGTGAAACTATTAAGAGCCTCATAAGCATGAAACAAGATTTACACTGAGAGAAAACAGATTACAGACAAACATTTGAAATGAAAAAGGAGAGTCATAAAACTGGCACACGCTTCAGGAGAAAGAGGCAGAAAACATTAAATAAAAATAAAGGAGTAAATCTTATTTTCACTTCGCAGCTCACAGGAATCAGGTCTGAATCACCTGCTGCTGTTTGCATCTTCAGCTGTCACAACGCTGCCACCTAGCTATAGCTACCACCTTCTACAGCTGAAAATGACCAAAAAAAAATAAAATCAGGATTTAGCAACACTGTGTCTAACTGGATTGTTAAGGTTGTCAAAAGAATTGCAGGTGTTAACATAATTACTGCATTTACAAGAGAAAGCACATTGCCCCTGCAGGAGGTTCTGAAAGAGCCACACGAAATAGTGACATTAAAAGTCAAATTCAATTAAAATAAATATTGGTTTTCTTTATCCTTCATTTAGGTTTTTACTAGTTCAGAGTTTTGGAATCAAAAGGGAAATTTTTAACAAGGATTTAGGTAGAGGCTATAAACTATTTCCCT